TTTCAGCTGCTCTTATACATCATTTAAGTAAAATCTCAGGGAGATCAATAGTTTTGTAGTTCGAATTTTAGTGACGTCATGTGAAAACCAGCTATAAGTATTGTATTGCACTTGAACGTATGCAGTTAACATGGGTATGAAATTGTAACGCAGGTCTGAAACAGGGTTTTGATTGAAGGGTCAGGTCATAAATAGGGTTTCGAATTTATGGTCAGGGCATAAATAGGGTAGGGAATGTCGCAGATTTTGGTCACCCCCGCCTAATTTTTCCAGGTGAACCCCCTCCCCGGGGATCGTTACTTTCGGACGTTTATGGTATGTTGCTAAAATAGGAGGTAATGTAAAAAAAGAGACTAGGCTGCATCATTAGCGAGAGATTTGAGCTTAAGGGGGATCCTTCTTAACTATAGATTTAAAACAATTGCTAAGGGATTGTTGAAGGCGTTATTCAAAGGACAGCTAGTTTGGAGCGTTTTGTAGTGCTAAATGGCGAATCGTTCATTTGTATTGAAAAAAATATACAGTGGAATCCCGATTTTTCGTACCTCCAAGGGAAACGAAAATTGGTTTGAAAAATCGGAGAGTTCGAGAAATCTGGGGTAAAATTAGCGTTCGACTGAGGATAGGGAAACGACTTTTGGTTCGAGTTATTGGGAGGTTCGAAATGAGGGTTTCCCGTGCGTAACTAGCGCCAGTCCCAAACCGCGCTATAGAATGTTACATCCCTAAAACTTGGAAGAAGAGGAAGAGTTCCGATTTTTCTTGTGGATCAGAAATAACTTAGCCTTGTGTATAATCATGCGTATGGAATTACGGTTAACACGTAAAAGACGAAAGCCACCGTTGAAAGTCTGTTAATACGGTTGTTTACAGAAGCGGGTCCAGGATTTTTCTTTGAAGGGGTTGCACCACTATGGAATGGCGTAACTGACTGATGAGGTAAACAAATTTTAAAAGCGAATACGAAGAAGGCCTCATCTCAGGGGGAGGTGCCCACACCCCTGCACCATCCTCTACATCCGCCCCTGGTTTATGACAATGCGAGTAGCATAAAGGAGATGGACGCTCTTAATCTAATGACGCTGATTTAAATTTTCGGATTTAGATGCCTTATTAAGTTTTACGGGTTTTTTCCTATTCTTGTCACGTGAATGGTCAAATCTGGCCGTTATTTGGAACAAACCTAAGAGCTTATCTTCAAAATGACAGAACCTTCCTTAGCAACAAATTTATGACCAATTGGTAGTTAAGAAGGACCCCCATTAATTGTCAGTTTTGCATTACTTTGAAGTGAATAAGAGCGCGACGAGGGATGTATATTTCCTCTATTATTTGTACACAAACCGTCCCGAACCCATTATTGACATACGACTTACACGTTCAGTTCAAATTTAAGGCCAACCCTAACCCCTTCAAATCAGTCAGAATTATTCGCCAGACTGTTCGCACAATAAGGCATCTTTAATATTCAATTTACCATTAAAAAACTTGGATCTACAGTACTTTTCATGAGTTATTCTGAGAAATCGGTTCGGTTCATACCAGAGTACTTTCCAAATTGCCATTTCTGCGATCGACATGGTTGATAGAAAATTATAAAACTTAAGTAAACCTAAGCCAGAGCAGGGGACTTGATACCAATAAACTTAAAACAAAGACAAATATGATTCTTATGCAGCTATAATACAAGGAAGATGGATTAATCATGATTCAAAACTGGGGAGAAAGCATAACGAGTTGATTTATTTATTAAAGCTAGTTCATTTATCTCCAGGCTACTGTTTCTTCTTCTTGCGACCGCGGCCGTCAGGAGTTCCATCAGCTTTTCTCTTCTTTTCATCCTTGCTAGGCGTCTGGGCCTGGAACGAGAAAATAAAGAAAATTATTTCCATTTAATAACGAGAGACATATTACGGAGAGAGAGACAATTAAGAGTCGGAAGTGATGTTAGGTCAGCTAAGGGTTATTGGAACCAAACAGATCAACTGTCAGGGTGGGGGAGACATACCTTGGGTGTACCCCCGGCAGACTTCCCTCGCTTCTTCCTCTCTGCCTTTTCTTTCTCCTCAAGCTCCATCATTTCTCGTTCGATTAATGTAATCAGCGTGTTACAACGGCGTTGAAGTTCCTACAACCAACAACAACGTTGACATACATTATGACTAAAGGGAATACTCTGGAAGTTTGACCATGTTTATACATTACAACTTTCAGTATTGACAAGTCAAGCATCATTTCGATTGTTGGTTCCAGCAATGCTGTGTTATTACCCAGTAGGCTTCTGATCCTGGAAATTCTATAGAGAATTCACTTATAAAAGAAGTCTACAGACCCTCCATTTTGATCTCCCCCCTAGCCCCGCAGCGTTGCGTTTTAACGCTGCACATGTGTCCCACGCGCCGTGTTAATATTTCGCCAAGCTTGCTATCTCGACCAACTCAAAACAAAATATTGTTTTGAATTGTCTATAAGCCACTTACTCAGCTGAATTATCACATTACGGAGAAATACTAATCAAAACATTTTCACGCAATAACCCTTTCGCTTTCGCAAGTAGTTCAATATCTTAACTTCCACTTGAACTCTTGTATGTGACCATTCAAGTAAGAGTCGTTCATCAGGACTTGCAAGCTACGCCTCGAGCAACTTCAACGCTCCTTTCCTGCTCTTCAAACTTCCCGCCTGCATCATAACTCGATTATGCACGCTAAAGCTTGAATCAGTAGTTAAATTTAGGTCCTGCCCACACTACGCCGGGGGAATTTGAACGCGGAGGTTTAAGGTCGGCACACACACGAGGGCACTAGTCCCTGCGACTAGTGCCTGCAACAAGTCGCGGGGACAGGCCCCATCGTGTGAACTGGCCATTTTTGCTTCAAAATCTAGTCGCTGCAACCAACTTTGGTCGCTGCGACCAACTTTGGTCCCTCCGACTAGTCCCACGAATTCAAACCAGTTTGAATTTTTGGGACAAGTCCCTGCGACTTGTTCCTCAAAACGCTTCGTGTGAACTGTACGGGGGACAAGTCCCTACGACCAGTCCCTTCGTGAAGACTCTTCAGGGGACTAGATGCAGGTACTAGTCGTGTGTGCCGACCTTTACTCTGAAAACGCATCAAATGTTTTCCATCCACACTACGCCGGAGGAAAAAACGCAACAATCACCGGTCATTTTGGATTTGTGTTTGAAGAAAACTCGCTCAGGGACATCACGTCATTATCGTGATGCCATCGTTTTCGAATCGCTCCTTTTTCAAATTGCTTTCCTTCCACACGATAAAGAAAAGCCAGCTTTTTCAAATTCCTCTGGTTTGAAGAGCGTTTTCGAAAAGCTCGGTTTTCGCGACGGATTTATTAGTTTGGACGGTAGGCCTAACCGTAAAAATAGAGCTGCGTTTTCAAATTTCTCCGGCGTACTGAGTGTGGACGCTTCCTTAGAGTTACATTAAAATCCTTACCTGGGCTGTCCTGGATTTAAGAAACCAGTCAAACCGGAATTGTGGTGCACTCCTGCAAGCCATCCTTAGCTCTTCGTACACGTTCTCCTTGTCAAATCCAAGTTTGTGTAGCATGCAAATCTGACGAACAAAGAAAGTCCAGGTTTATCAACATAGCTCGTTTGTAGAGACAAGGGCTTTAAGTCTGGTTTCGCGCTTTTTCCGAATTTATACTAGAGACGAATTATCCGACGCCGAATTTTTATTAGGAGACGATTTATCCATCTGAGATGATTTATCCGTCTCAGGCAGACGAATTACCCGTCTCAGACAGCTGATTAGTCTCTGACGGATAATTCGTCCCTAGTATAAATTCGGCCGATGTGTGATCCTCTTAGAAAATGAAAGGTGTTGATTAATGACTTAATTCCTTCAAGTATAATTAGGCAAGGCATGGAAAGCAGTATCAAGATTTTTGACGCTCACCAAGAAGCGATCTTCTTCTTCAGTGTAGTTCTTTCCCTTGTTTGTTCCATACGCGATTCTCATCTGATGGAACGGAGAACGGTAACGAGCCATCTGCGAAAAAAAGAACAGCAAGTGAGGCTGTGGGAGTACAACTTACAGAGGGGATATCTTAGTGGCAAGGACAAAATTCCGCAGAGATCGATGCCATGGCCCCTCTTGTGAACACCGCATGATGTCCCCGCTATGACATAACGCATCAACAAACCCCCTCGCGTGGATTAAACTTCAGAAGCCTGCTGTTGCAAACTTTACAGCGCCACACATATTTACTCTCCACACATATTCAACGTACAAAGCGTAACTTTTCAGTAATTGTCTAGAATTTGGCTTAGGATGAATACATTTTTAACAACAATTTTTGGCGGGAAATATTGACGCAGTTTACCTGCTGACGTCACGACTTCTGGAACAAGCACGTACAGAGCAACTCGCTCTGTATCTCTTTAAATCATTTTGGATTGTCACGAAAATCAAATAACTTATGATTTTAGGTGACTTTTACAATCGTACCTTAGCCTCCAGTGCCTTCTTGATGCTGATCCTTCGTTGAATCTTGGCTTCTCCTCGTTCGATCTGCGCCATAATCTTCTCAATGTCTGTCATTTCGTCTTTTCGTTCCCAGAAGACAGCGGAGTAGGCGCGTACTTCCTCAGGTGTCTTGCCTTCGACATCCTGGCAGATGTTGTCCAAGTCATCACGACCGTATTTCTCGCAAGCCTTGATAAACTGGTTGAATTCACGCTTGGACCAGTTTGTGAAGCCCTGGATTTAAAGTAAAAGTCGTGAGGTCAAGGGCTACAAAGTTGGTAAAAGGGTACTTGCAGAATATGTTTGGTTTATAATACTGCGAGACTAGCCATTACTTAAATTGGTGGCAACAATGAAGATACCTCTTGTAGGAGTTGCTCTTTTTCGGCAGTTTCCTCCTCGTTAAGCGGTTCAGACTCGTCTATCAACCTCTGTTCTTCTTTCTGCCTATCAGCTCCTTGAGGGTCCTCCGGGTCCCTGGGAACCTGAACAAAAGGGGTCAAGAGGGCTTAATGTGAGAGAGCAACAAGCAAACACTACCGTAAAGGTTATTACGAACTGGACCAAGAAGAGAAAGTTAAAATGAGGGTCACGGGACGCCTGCTTACATGGTCCCTCTTACCTTGTAGCCGATGCTCTTCCTGTATGCATAAATTTCTTTGTCCAACAGTTCAAACAGCCTGGGTGGGAAAAATTGGTAGTCTTGTACATTGGGCTGCTTCGGCGGCCGAGGAGCCTAAAACGCACAAAGAAAGAAATTAATTTAAATGCGAAACAACGTCAGTTATCATTGAAATTTCCCGCCTTTACGTAGCGTGCTGCGCTCAGGTTGGCTGTGATTGGAGGATTTGAATATAAAGGTCCATGTTCATTGGCTGAAATTTTGTATCACGAATGACGGTCTGAGTGGAAGACGAACACCAGGTTTGATTGTTTTTGTTTAAAGCTCCGCAGTAATTTCTCAAAACTTTGAATTTATTCGATTCTCGGCTGTGTAGAGAAATCTATCTTTACAAGAGTCTCACCTTTGGTGCTTTAGGCTCGCTAACTCTCAGCATCTCCCTGAAGTAAGCGTCCACAGCATAGTTAGCTTTACGCTCTCTCTTGGGAGGCTCAATCCAACGCGGGAGGCCGCCAGTCTGAATTATATCAATAACAGCAACATTAACATGGTCATTGACAGTAATATTAAGACTTCAGGAATGGGTAGACACAGCGGAGCAAGGGGGGGGGGGGGGGGGGGGGGCTCACATTTTGTCCAAGTGAGAGTACTCATCAGAAAGTCCTGTCGTTTTCGAAACCTGTTGTAGGTTACAAAAGGGGGCGTCACGGGCACCCAGGGACTCCCCTAGCTACGCTCCTGCACACCACGTAATATTTGGTAACCTGTTTGTTACCTGTTTGTCTTCCTAACTTTTTAACAGTGGCAATAAAAGACAGCTAGCATAGTCTGCTGCCTCCACTTCAATCGTCGA